GGAGGACGCGCCCCCGAGCGAGCCAGCGCCCCGCCGCCCGCCCACCGAGCTCCAGCCCCGGCGCGGCGGCCCTGCCGGGCTCTCGCGGGCGCACCGGCGACGGGCGGCGGCCATGGAGACGGCGGACCGGGAGTGCGGCGCGCTGGGCGGCCTCTTCCAAGCCATCGTCAACGACATGAAGGTGAGCCGCGCCGCTCAGAGCCGCCAGGCAGCGAGGCGGGAAGGGGCCGGGCCGGGCGGCTCCCGAGGCGGCGTCCGGCGGTCAGCCGAGGGCGGGTGTCGCGCCCCGCCCGCCTCCGCGCGGTCGGGGCCCAGGGGAGCACGATACCGGCCTGGGCCGAGCGGCGAGGCCCGCCGGAGAGCCCCGCTCGTGGGCCGCGCCGGCGCTGCGCCCGCGGGAGGGTCTGGCTCGGGAGGCTTGCCGGGCGCGGCGGGGCGGGGCAGGCCGCCTGGGCCGGGCCGGGACGTGCGAGGCGGCCCCGGCACAGGGCGAGCCCCCGGTTTGGGAGCTCTCGGGCGCGGCTGGCGGCCCCGCCGAGTCGCAGCGCTTGGGCAAGAGGCGCTTGCCTGGCGGCGCCGAGGCCTGGCGGACGCCCGCACGCCACAGCATCCTCGCGCCTCGAAGGCCGCGGCCCCGTCTCGACCGAGCTGCCGGGGCTGGCCGGCGCGGCGGGCGGCCTCCTTTCCGGCTCCGCGGCGCTGCGGACGCAGGCGGCGCCTGGCCGCGGAGCTTCCCTTGCAGGGCGGCCGCGGGCTTCGCTCCCCCGCGCCGCGCATGTGGGCCCGCGGCTCTCCACCCTCCGGGCAGCTGCCCCGCCCGCGTCGAAGCGCTTCTCGCCGGGGTCGAAAGCGCCTCCGGCCAAGCCTGGCGGGCGCCGAGGCAGCCCTGGCTCCGCGTTGGGGCCGCAGAGCCGCTCTCTCGCGCTCCGCGCGGCCAGCGAGGCAGGGCAGGGCAGCGCAGGGCAAGGTCCGGTCCCGGTCCCGGTCCCGGTCTCCGCTTGGGTCGCCCTCCCCGCTGGCTTCGCATTCCGCTCCAGCTTTCCCTGCTGGGGCTGGCGAGGGCCCGGCTCGCTGCAGGCCCGCGTGAACTGGGCCCGTCCCCAGATTCAAAACCCAGCCGTGGAAGGCTGCAGGTGCCCCGCTGCTCTGCCTGGCCTCCCGGCTTGAGGAGCAGGAGCTGCGTGGCCTCTGCAGAAAGTGGTGCTGTGTCCTGCTGGATCTGGAGGCCACGCGGAGACCTTGGGGTGGCAGCCCTCGGTGGGACAATGGGGAGCCTCCCCAGGCTTTTAGGGTTCAGGAGTGCCGCAGACCCTTGGCTTTGGACTTGCGGCTGTAAAGGACAAACTCTGATTTCTGGTAGCTGCTGGGAAAGACAGCACCCTGCATGTCACAGCAGTTGTGTAATCCGTGGTGTGCCCCTCCCTCTACCCCCTGCCAGCACCAAATGTCCAGGGACATTCCTGAGCTGCTTGACTCCCCCTCGGAAAGGCCTTCAACCTTCGGTGGCCATGGGCATTTCAGTGGCCCGTCGAGTTGGTCCCATGACCCCTGTGGTAAGGGTGGACTTCTCTGCCTCTGCCTTCTGGGCCTCCCTTGCTCTGAGGTTTTTCTCTCAGAAATGCTCCCTTTTTTGGCACACTGTTGGCTAGTTCATGTTGTGGGCAACTGGAGTGAAGCTAGAAGCCGGAGACAGCGAGCGCGCACCAGCGCTCTGTGGAAAGTTTCTGCTCTTTGCGGTTCACGGGCCATCCCTCCTGTGTCTTCTAGCCAGTCGGGAACCATTGCAAACCCACAAGCCTTGTCAGCCCCAACTTGCCACGTGGGTCCACAGTCTGTTTACTGGATCGGCCAGCCTTCGGCCTTTTTTCTGTCCGTTGTTTTCTTAATCTGTCCCTGGAAGAATCCGGCAGCGCTGCGTGCAGGGACACCACTGCTCCAGCGTCCACGCCAGCACAGTGGCGGGTGCAGCCTTCTCAGTGCTCCCGGCAGCGACCCCACAGCCTGGCTGGGTGAGCGGGCACAGGAGGCTAGTGCAGGCCACGCTCCACTCACTCTTCATGGCTCACCCAACCTGCAGGCAGAGAGGAGAATCCCGTGGGCTCTGTCCCACTTCAGCTTGGCCAGTGCAAGGCTTGGGGAGTTCGGCTCAGCTGGGGTGGAGGGAAGGAGCGAGGCGTGCCGCTCTCCGGGCCTCCTGCTTCGGGGCGTATCCCTCTAGCAGCCCCGCATGAGCAGGCGCAGACGGGGGCCACCGGATCGCCCAAGGCCTCCCTGCAGAGCTTGCGCCCGGCTGCTCGGTCGGCAGGCAGCCCACACGGGCCTCCTCGGGGGTTTGCCCTCCTGCTCTGGCGCATGCGCAGTTCCCCTGAGTGCCCCCCCGCCCGGCGTGTAGTGCCTGCCTGCAGGTGGGGGCACTGCGGCCGCTTGTGTATCCGTGCAGACTGCAGGGGAGGGCTGGGCTTCGCCGGGGGTATATGGCAGCTGGCCTGCAGGGGCAAGGGCTTCCACTGCATCAGGGGACGTCTCATTTCTCAGGCGGCTTTCGCAAAGCGACTTGCTGGGCAAGAAGGTGACCTTGGTGCCAGTTGTTGTTCACCGGTGCCCTGCGAGGAGCTGTAGTAAGCGGGCTGAGCGCTGCCCCGCGGGTTTCCCTGAGCACCTCCACCCGCCGTTTCCCCTGCCAGTGCGTGGTGGGAGCTTGCCCGGCCTGGGGGTCGTTGCCCTTCCTGGCGCCCGGCAGCCCATGGGGCATCCTTGCCTCGGCCCACTGGTGGAGAATGACTGCCTTCTGTGTCAAGGGCCGCAGCACCTCGTTCTGCCCCATCCCGGGGAAGCAGAGCCCTGCATCGTGCTTTGGAGTCGCTTGTGGGTGGAGAGGATGAAGCGGTGCCGGAATGGGGCCACGCTTCCACTCACGAGCTTGGGCTGCTTTCCTCACGTCTCCCACGATCGCCCCTCCAGGGTCCCGGTGCTAGCTGAGGGTGGATCTGCGCCCTGGGTGCCGGGCCCATTGCGGCGGGCGCTCCAGGCCAAGGGAGCTCCTGGGGCCACTCCAGGCCTCACCTGCCACTCACCCATTCCTGGCTTCCTCTGCGCATCGTGGCAATGTTGCAGTCGCCCGGAGTGCATCCCACTGGCAGCCCCCTGCCCAGCCCGACAGCCGTAATTGGGATGCAGGATGCTGTGGCCAGCACGACCATTGCCACCGTGGGTAGAGCCTGCGTGTGGGGGGGCCTCATGGGGGGGCTCTTTGCAGCGTGTCCAGCATGCCGCCCCTCTTCCTGAAATCTGGAAGGTTCCCCTGTCAGTGTTTGGGGGGCCCTAATGCCAGTGCCTCCATAGCGAGGTATGGGGTCCTGATCCCTGAAGGTCTTTTACTCCTCGCTTGCCCGTCTTGCTCTGCCCTGTTGTTTTGAAGACTGCTTTGGGATTTCCTTGTTCTCGTTTTTATTTGGAGGCTCATGTCTTCGTTCTAATTCTTGTTTACTGGATATAAAACCAGGGCCAGAACCACAAATAACAGAAGGAGCACAGAAAGAACTGTGTGCGGAGAAATGGCTGACCTTTATGAGAAGCCTCGTGGTGCCCTCCTGGCGATCCCTTTGCCGACAGCTCAGGATTTACAAAGGAAGCTGCTGTTTCGGAGGGCTTTGCCCTGGCAGAATTCTTGATCCTTCTTGAGATAGAGACAACCTTCCTTGTGTTTTTCCCCCCTGGGCTTCTGTGTTGAAGCCAGCTGATGCCGGCGGGCAGGTCCTGAGGAGGCAGTGGAGGCAGGGTGCAAGGTGCGCCAGCACTGCCATGGGGAACAGCTTCGTGTCAGGACAGAGAGGGAGGCGTGATGGTGGCTGCAGGCAGCTGTTGTGGCTGTGCTGCGGGAGCTGGACGCGGGCTGGGCTGGGCTGGGCTGGGCTGGGCCGGATTCCCCAAGAGCTGGGGTGGCGTGCGTTGTGCTTCCTTTATTATCCCATGGTGCAGAATCATGGGAACGTGGCAAAGAATGGCTTGCTGGAAGGGGAGCCCGCTGCTTGCTGGCCTGGCCCGGCCCGGCCCGGCCCGGCCTAAAGTCCCGTTGCAGCCATTTCTTTTCTTTAAATATCTTTTCCTAGATCTGTCGCTTACCTTGGTGGTCAACTATTTATTTTTAACATCTGCAGCACTCATGTGCTGCTTAATAGGGCTTAATAGACCAGCTCACAAATCCTGATTAAAAACCACGCTGGGAGCAGTTCAAGGAGTGGAAGGGCTAATTGCAATTAAGGGCAAGCCGGGCACAGGCTGGGAGAGTGAGGGGGTTTCCAGGCACGCTTCAGCCTTTGGAACCCTGCAGGTTTTCCTGAGGAGGCGGCCGCTGCTGAGATGGTGCAGCGGCTCCTGGGTGGCCGCAGTACAGCCGGCGGGGCCTTCCTCTCTCCGCTCCCCCTCTCACACTGCAGGCGTCTGTGGGCCATCTGCTCTGGGGCCCTGCTTTCCGGGGCCTTTGCGCCGCTTGCGTAGCCTTACCCACAGGCAGACCACTTGGATCCCCTCACACAGGCCTTGCCTGGACATGGCTGGTATCCCGGGAAGTGCCAGGGCGGCTTCTCCCTGGCAGCTGCTCCTGATCTGGGTGCGAGGGCAGCCCCTCATGGTGTGTTGCAGTGGGGTTGCTGCATGGGCACCGCAGGGCCTCTTCCGGAATGGGAACAGCTGTTGCCAGAGCAGGGCGGCGCACTCTGAGCCAAGGCAGGAGCCCAGGGTTCCAGAGGCAGGAGCCGGGCCGGGTCAGCCCCAGGCATTGAAAGCACAGAAATAAAGCGAGCCAGAAGGGGCCTCCCAGGCCATCTAGTCTGACCCCCGGCTTCAGCTCCGCTCACGACACGCCCACCATGTGCATGTCCAGCCTATCTTTGAACACCCACACTGATGGGGCCTCAGCCACCTCCCGGGGAAGCCCATTCCACACCCTCGGGGTCCTGACCGTCAGGAAGTGCTTCCTGGCATCTAAATGGAACCTGGGTTCCCTGAGCTTGGCTCTGTTGGAGTGCATCCTGCTCTTGCAAGTGGGGAGCAAAGGCGCGATTCCCAGGGCTGGGAACTGCTCGCCCACAGGGCTTCTGTCCCACCGGGGCCCGCTGCCCTCTGTTAGCTCTCATGCGCCCCTCGCTGCGCCACTCCCAATTCCCATGGCACAGAGGAGCAGAGCCCGGATCGCCTGACATTGGCTCTGCTGCCCGGAGAGAGCCCTCGAAGGCCGTTTGCCAGTCTTGATTGCATCACAGGGACTTGCGGGATTCCTCAAAAGCTTTCTCCGGAAGGTTTCGGAAATTGCCCCCTGGTTGCCCCTCCCACCCTGGCGTGGCCCCTGCGTCCTCCTGCACTTGCTCCAAGCATCCGGCATTCTGGGACTGCTTGCCTCCGAGCCTGGGGACTCCAAATGGCCCCCTTGGCCAGTGGCCGCCCACATGCTTGTTCCCCCACGAATGTGTCTGGTGATCCCTTGAAAGCCGCGTCCTGCAGGCCGGCACGCATCCATGTGACTCATCGCTGCTTCTCCTGCATTCGGCCTCTCTTTGGAAAGGCCTTTTGTTGATGCCTCTTGGAGTGAAGCCTCGTAAACCTGCCGAGATTGTGCGACGTCATCTCAGGGTTTGGTGTGAGCCTGGCTGTTTACATCCCGCCCAAGAGGGAACTCCAGCTTCTGTTTGTCTTGCTCCCCTCACGCAGGTGTTATAAATATCTTTGCAGCAATATATTTAGGCATCGGGCCACGGGGACATGGAAAATCTCGCCCTGCACTCACTCTCTTCAGCTGCTTGGAATGCGGCTGCCTCCCGCAGCATCTGCATTTGCAGAGTCCCTGCCTGGCAGGGTCAGCGGCCACTGGGAGGGAGAGGGCCAAAAAGCCGTGGGGTACATACAGGGAAAAGGCATCAGGAGGCCTGTTGTCCAGAATCTGGATTTTCAACTCCCCCAGCCCGTTCCATCCCAGAACGCAGACCGATCCTGCAAGCAGGGCCTTGTTTACCGCACCGACAGAGCTGCTGGTAAGCAGCGAAATCCCGCTGGGAGCCGCCTCGTCCCCATTGCCAGCTGAGCCTCGCTGGGTATGGAGACACTGGGCACAGGGCGTTCTGTTCTGTCCTGCAGCCTGGCCCCGTGGCCCCAGTATCCTCAGCCTTCCTGCTGGCTGGGGATGGTGGGTGCTGCACTCCGGCCCTTCTGGAGGATGCAGGTCATGGAAGGCTGGTGTGGACCCGTTTTCCAGCAGCCGAGCAGTGTGCTGGCCATCCCACGAGTGGCCGGGGAGCGCATGGTGTCTCGTGCCCGGGCAGCACGATCCCGAGGAGCGCCTTCCTGCCCAGGCAGAACCGGAAGGGCGGCACGCTGGGGCCCCTGCGCAGCGGCTCCCTCGCCGCTGCCTGCCACACTCGCTGGGCAGCAGCTGTCGAGAGGGATCTGCACCACCTGTCCTCCCGCCACGCGATGGGGTGGAAGCCGCCCCAGCAGCTGCTCCCAAGGGCTCTGCTCCGTTGGAGGCAGGGCTGGCCAGGAAAGGCTGAGTGTGGCCACGCTCCGCCCGGCACTGCCAGCTTCTTCCCGGCCAGGGCGCGACTCATTCGTGCAGGCATTGGACTAGCAACAGGAGCGGGTCCCACGCCACCATGTTCGGCCTTCGCTGGGGCCCGGTGGCGTCTGCGCATTCCACCCGGCGTGGCTCCCCGGGCGTTTGCTCCAAGTGCCGGTGGAGCCACAGCAGTTGGCAGTTTTCCCACCGGGGGGGTGTGCTAGCCTAGATGTGATGCCACAAGCAGACGGTGAGGGCTCGTGCTAAATTTGTACATGGAAACTTGGTGTGTCAGCTTCCTTTGAGGTTCTCTGTGTTGGTACGACAGACCAAGCAGCGTTCTGAAATAACTCTCAGCAGCGCTGTCCTCCGGACTCCCCTGGCTTCTTGGGCACTCTCGGCGTGCCGGAGAGGCCAAAGGGTCTGAAAGAGGCAGGGCACCTGTTCCGGAGTGCAGAGAAGTCTGGGTTGCTGCCAGTGCAATGGGTACCTTGGTGGGAAGGAGGTGTTTCCACTGGTGTTCCGGGCTTCCTGGCGGCAGATGTGGCCTCTTGGCTGTCTGGCTGAGAGCAGGAGGAAGTGGGCACGCTCCACAAGGGCGGGACGGCAGTCTGTCTCCCCCGGAGCAGGCAATGCCTGTGTGGCCGGGGCAGCTGCCCCGGAGGCCCAGGCCGGGCTGAATTCCGCTCTGGGAAAGCCCCTGGGTTGCCATGGCCAAAACCCGCACTGGGGCGGCTATGGGTTTGCACCTTCTGCACAGGGGGAGGGCAAGCCAAGCAGCCCCCAGGCATGTGCACCACATGGTGTCCAAGCAGGAGGCAACGGGCCTCCGCACAAGCCGGCCAACCGAGCCCCGAATCCCCCTGGGCTGCCCTTCCCTGCAGAGAGAGCGCTTCCTCTGTCCCAGTAACAGGAGTGCCGGCCTCCTGAGGGTGCGAGTGCTCCTGAGCCAGCGAGGGCTGCTCCCCGGCATGGAGGGTGTGGGTTGTCTCCCGGAGAGGGTGCCCACTTGAGCTGGAGGGGGAGAGGAGGCTGCCCCTGCTCCGGGCTTCCCCAGTGCTTCGGCCGGGGCCTGCGGGGGCAGCGCAGCGGTAAGTGCAGAGCGGCTGGCCCTCGCTCATCTCTTCCCACCCTTCTCTGTTTCAGAGCTCCTACCCCATCTGGGAAGATTTCAGCTCCAAGGCAACTAAACTGCACTCCCAGCTGCGGTGAGTCCCTCACAGCGCCGGTGCAGCGGCACTCCGCTCCACCCCACTCGCCTCCGTCCTGGTGCAGCAGCCTCGAGCGGGATGTCTGTGATGAACGAGCCCAAGGCAGGGGCTGCTTTGCAGTTGGCATCTCCCCCCGCCTCCCCCTCCCCTCTTGAAAACAAGTCTTCGCCTTTCCCCTTTGTTCAGTCGCTTTGGAAACCAGGCGGCCGCTGCGCTGCACGTTTTGAGAAAGCAGATTTTTCGTTCTTGCAGGCTTGGTGTGGCACTTGGGAGGTGCTCTGTGGCCCCCTGAGCATACTGACCGGCATTCGGAGGTGCCCCAGGCCGGCGCATGTCCGGCGGTGCTGGGTCGCCAGGGCTCCCATGCTTGTCTCCCTGCTGGGAGCCGCACTCCCTTCCCTCCCTGGGAAGCTTGCAGGCTCCGCAGAGCTGCCCCGTTCCTGCCCTGCGCGAGGCGTCCTAGCTTGAGTCAGCAGGGCAGTTGACCTCTTGGGCCAGGGGCATCGGTGGGCACTCGGAGCATGCGGGCCTCCTGGCAAGGTCCCCGCACCTGCCCTGCAGGTGAGGACGAGGCAGAGGTGGGCCCGGGAGCAGCCCCCTTGAGCGTGGGAGTCTGCGCCAGTTTCCCCAGCTGGTGGAGTGCAGTGGGAGGGGCCTTGAGTGGGAGGCGTGGCCCCCATCACTTGTGCCTGTTGCTTCCAAGCGGGCTTTTCTCTCTGGGAGAGCCATTCCGCTTTCTTTCGCTCACAGTTTATGGAGCAGCCAGGTGACTTTGTGGTCATCTCAGGACTCTGATGTTGCCCCCATTTTTTTGCAGGCCTGATAGGTAGTTCAATTTTGTACTAAAAATAGGAGACTGCTGTGCTTTGGCCCCCCGGCTGTGGACAGGCGGGTCGCTAGGGCCGGGGCCTTCAAGGGCCTGGTGCCCTTTTCGGCACACTGTTCCTGCCCACGCGCTCAGGCTGTTTGGTGGCTTGCTGGTCGGTGCTGGCATGAGGGGCCCCAGTCACTTCCCCCCGAGGAGCCCTTCCCGGTTGCCCCAGTGCTCCTGTGGTGGGGGAGAGTTGCAGTGCAGGGCTACTGGGGGGCCCCCAGTGTGGCTGATGCCGCCCCCCCCCCCATGTCAGTGGCGCCGGCCAGCACAGAGGGCACGTGCAGCCCGAGAGCACCTGCAAGGCCGCCGTTGCTCCGAGCGCATACTGCTTCTCCTTGCTGGCTATTTTTAAAAATAACACAGCCGTGCATCTTGGCCATATAAACATGAAAAGAAAACACACCCAAGAGGAAATGAGCAATCAAAGACCCTACCCTGTGGGAGCAGAAACCAGGATCAGGGCAACTTTGAGTGGCTGTTTGCAAGGTAATTAATAGATTTTTCATCGCTCAGGAAGCAATAAAGCAGACCGACTCCAGCAGGAGGAAGGGTTTAATTGGCCGCGGTGTCCTGCAGCTGGGCTGGGCGTCCTCCGCTCTAGAGCCCCCTCCCACTTTCTCTGAGGAAGCTATGTGGCGGCAGCGGTGGCCACCGCGTAGGCGGCTCCTGGCCTGCAGGGAACACCAAAGGCCCGGGGCCGGCAGGGAACGGCGGGGAGCACCACCGGGGCGCCTGCCCATCCCAGAGGCAGTCCGTGCGTGCACAGCGGTCACCCCGGCCCTGTGCACACCCCCAGAAAGGCCTGCGGAGCGCGGGGTCGTGCCGGGGCACAGGCAGCCGTGGCCGGTCCCGGACGCCCCCGCGCAGGTCCTTTCGGGGCCCAGAGGGCGTGGCCATGGCCCTGGGTACAAGCGCTCTCCCTTCATGCTTGGCATTTATTCTGAAGAGAAGCAGGAGTTATTCGCTTCAGATTTGTGAAGCCGCAAGTGTTCTTGGGAATCGCACTATGGGGGAAGAGTGGCTGATGGGCAGAGATTTTGGGGTGGGGACGACCTCCTAGCAAGGAGGACACGAGCGCCCTGAAAGTTCGCTGACCTGGAGTGCAGTTGTGGAGAGCAGTTTTGGAGAAGGTGGTGGTGTGCTGCCTGTGAAGTGGGTGCTCGGCGTACCACAGAAGAGCAGCACCCGATGGGTGGGCTTGCGTTTGGGGCCAGGCGTGAGGGGGCCCAGCTCCACTGTTTCTGCCTTTGGGGTTCAGGGCGTGTTGCGGCCGGCTGTAGGCGTGCACTCTGCGCTTGAGAAAGAAGGCTCTGGCGCGGCAGTGCACTTCCTTGTGCCCTCTGTCTAGGCAGGTCCACCTTCCCGGTGCATTTTCTCCACGTTGGCAGGATGGCAGGCATGGCTCTCACTCCAGGGCTCTGTGGAGGACTCACGGGCACACGCAGCTGCGTTGCACCGTGCGTGGAAAGGGCGGAGCAGGAGCTCGGCTCTCCTGATCATTTTCCGAACCAGGCGCAAAAGCCAGGCACAAACACTTCCGGAACAGCGTTTTGCAGTTTGGCTGTGCATTGCGTGGAGAGGGGCTGAGGACCTCGGTGCAAGCCAAGCTGGTGCCCGGTCCTCTGGAACCCCCAGCCCTACCCACTTCTCCTCCCCTGTTGAAGACCCTTTCTTTCTTTCTGTTTGTATCCCACCGTTTTTCCTTCCAAGGCGCTCAGGGAGGCGTGCGCAATCTTCCTCCTCACAGCGACGACCCTGTGAGGCAGGGTGGGCCACTCGGTGACTGGCCCCAGTGGAGTCGGGAGCAAAGCCTGGTGCTGGAGCTCCAGGCCCCAGTCCGTGCTCTCCCGCCCTGCCATACCACGCTGGCTGCCGTGATGCAGCCCCCACTGCCACCTCCTGCACCAGGCAGGGAGAGCCCCTGCCCGTGGACAGCCCCAGCCCCTCGCCAGCCTCCCCCGGCCTGGCCCCATCTCCTGGCACCCTCTCGTGCCTTCTTTGGGCTCCTGCGGCATCCGTGCTCTGGACGCCCTGCCAAGGAACTCCCCCCCCAGGCAGCTCTGGCTCCCTGCGAGGCCCACGGCTGGTGGGGCCTGAAGCAGGAGCTTGGAGGTTAGGCAGAGAAGTCCCGTGGCTGCCGCTGTGGCTCAGAGCTGGGCCTCTGGGAAGGGGCCCCTCTTCTTCAGGCCGTGCGTTCCACCACCCCAGCATCCCGGCTGCCTGCTCTTGTCTCCCGGGGCAGAGGCAAAGCGACAGCCTGCGTTCCCTCCCCCATCTTCGCGTGGGGCTTCCTTTTTCAAAAAGGGGGCCACAAATCAAATTAAAATATGCAGGCAGAAAGCAATACTGGGGGATACTAGAAGTGTTGTCGGCTGCCAGCACTCTACTGAAATGGACTGACGCGCAAAGATGACGGATTCCTCACGGAGCTACTTGTTGCCCCTCGGGGTCTCCCACCACTGCTTTTCCATGGGAATGCCCAGAAATCGGTTTTCGGTCATATTATGGGAAATTTCCCTCGGTGCTCCCGAAACGGGCCACAAAGAGGGAGAGGCTGCTGTGAAGTCCCGACCAGGCCACGAGGGCTGTTTTGGAGGATGAAGTGGAGTTCAAACCGTCCTGCCCTGGTTTCTGCTGTAGATGAGCAGATTTTGGCAGGAACAGAAGAAAATGTAGCAGCTGAATTAAACTTGGCTTCTGGAGGCATTCCACTGTTTCTTAGAAGAAGCCGCCCCTGCAGAAAAGTGGTTTGACGCAGACAAAACTGTTTCCTTGGCTCCCTTCTGCATTTGTTTGGGGTTCTGCTTTCTGTACCTCCGGCTTCTTGCTGTGTGCAAAGAGCCGCCCGCTTGCTTGTTTGGTTTTTTCTGGGCAGCCAGCAAGCGACTGCGCTGCCGAATCGACCAAAGAGTTCAGCCGCCTCGCTGGCGCTTGCGGGTTCTCGGGGTCTGAGGTCAGGTGTGCATGGAGCAGTCTGCTCAGCAGGCCCCCCCGTGGCCTGAGCAAGACTCGAGGCTGGCCCTCGTTGGCCCCGACTCCTCGAGCGGCCTCCCCAGACCACGGGCTTGCCAGCTGTGTCCGACAACAGGCGCCTTCCCAGAATCCCCGTCAGCCCCCCCCCCCCGCCCCCGCAGGCACGCCTGGCTTTCAAGGGCTGCCCCAGAATGCATGCCGGCCCAGCGCGCCGGGGACAGGGGCACGTGTGGGTGGAGCAGCAGCCACGGGGCAGACCCTGAATGGAGAGCGGTGGCAGCGGGAGCAGCGCGAAGCCCGTTGCTCCGCCAGGCTGCCACCATGGCTGGCCTTTCTCCCCATGTGGAAATCACCCCCTTCCTTGTGGGGGGACCCTGGGAGAAGAGGGGCTATGGTGGGGAGGGGGCTGAATGCTCAAGGAAAGGCCCCTCGGGCGCCAGTGCAGTGCCAGACCATCTCTGGCTCAGGTGGCTGGCGAGAGGGGCTTCGACTGCCCCCAGGCATCTTGAGGGCAGCACCTGCCCTTCGGCCCCGCTCCCGAAGAGGAGCCGTGCCCCCGCATTCCCAGGCACACTCCTCGGCTCATTATTCCCAGAAGACGGCCCGGTGCTCTTGCCAGCCACCCCCACCCCGAGCGCCGCTATGAAAGGGCCTTTCAGCCCCGAGCACTGCTTTCCAGGGGCTGCCGGATGCGCCTTGCCGGGTCCCCTATTAATAGTCCCGCGGTGGTGCTTGTGTTCCTCTGAGCACCACTGATCTGAAAGGCCCCCTTGTGCTTCTCTCGGCCTCCTTGGCTGCTCGCGCTCTGCGCGTCCCCAATGCGCCTTTGTGCTCCGCGGCTGTCTTGCGCCGGCTGGAGCGTCCCGCATTTCCTCTGCTTCTTTCCGCACGCACAGAAGCGCCAGATCCGCCCGGTGCTGGCTTGGGAGGGGTGAGCAGCGCGGATGCTGCCTGCCCGGGTGGGCAGGTGGGCCGGCCCAAGTCCATCGCCTGCAGATCCACAGTCCTCTCCCGCATTTAGGGTTGCTGTGGCGACCATGTGCTTGCCTCCGACTCGCTCTGGTCAGAGACACGGCAAGTCACAAGGCGCTCAAGCGGCCTCGGGTCGAGCGTGACCAGAGCGGGTCGTGGGGGCCTGGCTTGCCTTCGCCCAACACGCCGTCATGCGTCGCTGCCTGGGCTGGTTTGTCCCGTTCGTGAACCTGGGCCAGTTCTGCAGGATGTAACTGTTTTTGGGTTTTGGTAAGCTGTCCAGAGACTTTAGCATTAGACAGCATAGAACAACTTTAGATAGACAGACTGAAAGGGAACGAGAGGCTGGTCTGATGAGGCCTGACGCCCCCCCTCTGCCCTAGGACCACGGTGCTGGCTGCGGTCGCCTTCCTGGACGCCTTCCAGAAAGTAGCTGACATGGCCACCAACGCGCGAGGTAAGGCTGGCTGGCAGGCTGCTTGGACGGGGCCGGTTGTGGGGTGGGGGTCCAGAGCCACACCTGCCTGTCCTGGGAACATCGGCTGCCATTCAGGGAACCATGCGTTGGGGAGGTCTTGGCGCACGCTTGCTGCGGCGACGTGTTTGCGCCCTGCCTGGCCGCCAAGCAGCTCTCGGCATGAGAGACTGCTGCCGCGACGGCCCTGCCAGGCGGGGCCTTTCCCCAGTTTCCCCAGGAGCGTGTGGACTGCACCCTGTGGCCAGCACCTCTTGCAGCAGGGAGTGTCTGAATTGTGCCTTGTTTTCCCCAAGGAAACACTGCCGAGGCAGCCTTCCCCGGCCTGGACTGCCGTTCCCATAATCCCCAAACTGGTGCACCTGCAGAGTGGGAGGAAGGCTCCAACGCAAAGGCCCGGAGCTGCACTGTGGGGCAGTTGTTTCCTGCTGGCCTCTGGCCGTCCAGCTCTTAAACGTGCTCGCGGGACCACGAAGTGGGGCAGCCGGTGTCCCGCATCTTCAGTCAGGCTCACCCTGCGGGCCCCTAAAGGGCAGCCGCTCCTTGATTTTGGGTGTGGGGCTGCGTTCGTGGAGAACGTCAGCTGGCTCCTTGAGCTTGCAGAGCCCAGGAAGAGCCAAGTCGGATCAGAGCAAGGTTCCGCCTGTGCCACAAGCCTGGGGCAAGGTCATTCACGGCATGTGGCTGCGAGAAAGCCCTTCCGCCCAGCCGCTGGTGTCTGGAGTCTGCAGGGGACCCCCAGGCCCCGGAACAGTGGCCCTGGGTGCCGCCACTGCCTCCCCCTCCGGGAACGGGGCCGGGCCCCTTTGGAAGCCACCCCGTCGGTGGCCCTCGGTGCTCCCCGTGGCCGAGGACTCCATGGTGTCTGTGCCTTGTGGAGGAGCCCTTCCCTCGGCCTGTCCCAAATCTCCCACAGGTTGGCTGCAGGAGACGACCCATGGTTTGCCAGCAGGATAAGCAGGGTAGGAAAATGGGCCTGGGCACACGACAGGTCTGCCTCCTGTCATTCCCCGCTGCCCCATCGCCCTCTGCTCCGGTTCGGAGCCGGCAGACTGCCCGGAAGTTGCCTCCTTTGCTCGCAGGGGCGTTGCTGCAGCCCTTGGGTCACCCAAGGAGCACTGCCTGCGTTACCCTCTTCCAAGGTGCTGTGTGTGGCTGTGCCCCAGGTTTGTGTCGGAGGGAACCGTCCTAATGGTCCAGTTTTTCCTTCCTTACCAATCATTCCTGACACGGAACTGGCCTTTTTCACAGCAGTCGGCACCGGGGTGGTCTTGTCTGGAAGCCCCCCGCCATGACCCCACGGGCTGTTTCTGAGTCAGCGGCTGCCAGCCTGGAGCCTTTGCCCCAGCGTGACTCTGCTCTTGCCTGCATGGAAGCGCGTTGCCCTCCTCCACTCTGGAGTGTTCAGTTCAGACTCCTCTGCTTTGGACTGCCCTAAATAGCTTGGTGCCATCAGCAAATGTGGCCACCCCACTACTCATGTCTAATGCCAGGTCATTTGGGCCCTAATGCAGGCCCCAAAACACTGTTTCCGACCTCCACTTGGAGAAATAACCATTTATTTCCACTCTCTGCTCTAAAAGTTGCCCACAGTAGAGAATTCCTGGACCTGCCTTGGTGGCATTAGCCCTCTGGGAAGGGAAGAAGGGGAGGGGAGGGCCTTGTCTGGGCAGGATTTCCGGTGTGGGGCCCGTGCTGCATAGCAGTCCTTGGGATGGGTAAGCATCCAGCCCTGCTGGCACCCCGGCAGGCCTGATGGCCGGAATCGCCCCGGTTTGCTCAGGGTCCCACTCCGGGTCCTCTGGGAGGGGAGACTGTGCTCCTGCCACTTGAGGCTTGCTCTGGGCGCCGTGCAGAGAGGGGCTGGCCGTCCTCACGCACGGGCTGCCGCGCTTGCCTGTCCCCAGCCATGCAAGTTCTTCCAGCACCGGGGCACCTTGCACGGGAGGGCTTGGCCGCCGGGGCTCAGCCAGCCGCGCATGCGTGCGGCGAAGGGGTGGGTGGGGCGGAGTGGGCTGCAGTGCCCAGCGGCCCTTCTGGGGTGGGATGCCTCGGGGCAGGGGCCGGGGAAGGCTGGGGGCCCCCTCCTTTCCATGCTGGAAGTGACCTCGCCCTCCCCACACACTGGCTTGGCTGGGCGGCCCCCTCCCGCCTCGGCAGAATTCCCCGCGGGAGCCTTTGGGATTAAGGGAAGCCGCGGGCAGATGTGCAGCCGATTAACGGCCTGTGCCGCCGGAGGCGGAGATGTCGGCCAGGCCAGGCTGCTCTTTGGAAAGGAGGTCATGTGGGGGTGGGGCTGGCCCACTGGGGGAGGAAGGCGCGGCAGTCTGCCCGTCTCCTGGGGGCTGCAGGTGGGCGGGCAGGGCCCCCCAGACTGGCAGCCAGGTGGGAAAGCCTCTCCTGGGTTCCCTCCCTGTGGTGTGGCTGGCACCAAGAGCACAAGAACGTAGGCAAGGCCCCACCAGATCAGGCCCGAGGGCCATCCGCCCAGCCCTCCGTCCACACGGGGGCAAACCGGCTGCCCCCAGGATCCCGCAGGCAGGATGGGGCCAGGCCTGGCCACTGGGGCATGCAGGCAGGCTGCCTCTGGGGAAGGAGGGAGCCCATGGCAGCAAGGCTAGTGGCCACCGATAGCCCCCTTCTCCGTGAATAGGCCCAGTCCCCCTTTACAACCATCCTGTCTGGTGTCTCTCACCACTTCCTGTGGCAGCAAATCCCATCATTCACACTGTGTGCAGAAGGGCTCCCTTTTCCCAGTCCTAAACCTGCCCCCCGTCATGGGGTGGCGCCGTGTTCAAGGCTCACGGTTCACAGGAGAGGGAGAAAGATGCCCCTCCTCACTCCTCCGGCCCCCTCGCTGCAGCCCTGCTCCTTCTCGCCGCCTCCCTCTACTCCTTCAGTGCAAGATGCCCTGATCTGGGGGGCCCGGCACCCAGTGTTCAGGCCGGGGAGCTGCGTGAGGGAGCCCAAGCCCGGCAGGTCTGTTTCCTGCCATTTCCAGTCGTGCCTGACAGGGAGGTTGCCTCTTCTGCAGAGGCCACGCACCGGTCTCCGCTCTTTCTCCTTCGGACTATTAGAAACATGGGGGAAAAGGCAAGTTGGAAGGGGTTTCCCAGGCCACGCATTCTGGCCCCCGGCTGCAGCTGGCTCTGCTCGTGCAGCCCCCCGCCCCCCCGTGTAATCCATGTGCTTGAACACCTGGGTTTCTGCGCCCCAGCATGCTCCAAGGGAGCCCTGGCAAGGATGAGCCCCCTGCCAGGCCCCCGCTCTGAGGAAGGCCCCCCCCCCCGGAGGGTGTCGGGCGGCTGCCCAGCGCAGTGCTCCCCAGCGCCCCCGGCTTGCCAGGAGTGATGCTGCGTGCAGGTGGCCACGGCAGGTGCCTTCCAGGTCTGGCCTCTGAGCCCAGAGTGCCCCCTCGCCCCCTGGATGGACTTGCCCTCGCTCTTTTCCAAACGGGCAGACACACCACAGCGTGGCATCCCTCTTGCTCAAGCACCCATGGCGCCCTCGCACAAGCCCAGATGTGCCCACCCCGAGAACAACCCCGGAGGCTTCTGGTCTAATTGCGTGCAAGGTGATTCTGCCTCAGTCTTGCTCTGAGCCAGCGTAAATCCGAGGTCTGGCTCCGCTGGAGGCACCTCTTTCAGGCCCTCCGGTGGGCTGCCTGGCCCTCCTGTGCCCTTCCGTGCTTCTCTCCTGGCCTCTTGCACAGAGGCGCTGCTTCCACTGTGGACGTGTTTGTGTTTGTCAGCGAGCACTGAGCCACCAGCACGTGTGTGCCCCAGGGCGCTGCTCTAGCTCTGGCCGGGTGGCCTCCACACGGCGGTGCGCGGCCTCACTGCCTGGAGCCGCAACTCCTTCCCAGCGGCGTTCCGGCCTCCAGGCGCCTGAAGAAAGGTGTCCCCATCGCACGTGGCCTCCCCCATGCAGCTCAGTGGCCCGCCTGCCCCGGCCGCTTGCCCACCAAGGCCTGCACGTCCCCGTGCCCGGCCCCTCGGGCCCTTCGCTCGGAGCGGCTCCCTCCAGCAGAGGCAGAGGGAGGGAGAGCGGGCGGCCGAGGCAGCCCCACTGCGCCCGCTGACCAGGGGCCGTTTCTTTCCCCCAGGAGCCACACGCGACATCGGCTCAGCGCTGACCCGCATGTGCATGCGGCACCGCAGCATCGAGGCCAAGCTGCGGCAGTTCACCAAGTAAGCACACGCCCCTCCTGGCGGCGCACCGTGGCCAAATGAAGAGGCGGCTTGGAGCTCCTGGTTGCGCGTAGTCCCACCAGCAGGAGCCCCGCCCCCTGCCCCGAGCCCCGCCCCCTGCCCCGCCCCGCCCCGAGCCGGGCGAGGGCGAGGCTCCAGTGGGTGCCTGGGTCGCACAGGGCACCCCGGCGATGCTGCCCGGGCTCACTCCAAGAGCCGCAGGGCTCCTCAGAGTCCAGGGCTGCAGCGGCTGCCACGTCGCCCCCGCTCTTTCCGCGTTGCCCCTGCGTTGTGTCTGGAGCGTTCTGCGCAGTGGTGGGCTGGGCGGGCGAGGGGGATCGGCGGCTCTGCCTCGGGCAGCAAAGCGGCATGAGCAGGCGGGATGCTGCCCTCGGGGGGCTTGGGGCTGCCTTCATAGCCCACCTGTCTTAGTGTTTCTCCCGCCGCAGCGCCTTGGTGGAGAGCCTCATAAACCCTCTGCAGGACAGGATCGAGGATTGGAAGAAATCTGCTAATCAACTCGACAAAGACCACGCAAAAGGTAACATGGGGGCGCGGACTGGCTCCACCCGTGCTAGGCGTGGGGGTACCCCGGCTGCCTGGAGGGGAAGCCCCCTCAGAGGGGGCCTGGAAGGGACCCTGAGTCCCCTCTGATTTGGAGCAGCCCCTTCCGGTTCTCCTCCTCCCATGCCGCCCCCTCGGCTGCTCCCGGCCGTAAGCCGGAGGGTATGTGTGTCCGGTGGAGGGCAGGCCAAAGGCAGTCCTCCGGGAGCATTTCTGCACTGCAGCTGCAGCCTGGCCGTGCTCTCATCCCATCTCTGTAGAGTACAAACGAGCCCGCCACGAGATCAAGAAGAAGGCCTCTGACACCCTGAAGCTCCAGAAGAAAGCCCGCAAAGGTGAGCCTCCTGCCACTCCACGCCAGGATGGCCTCCTCAGCTCCAGGACACCTTTGCCTGCCCGCCGGGGCTGTGGCCAGGGCCCTCCCGGCCCGTGCAGGCGTCCCAGGGCTTCCTGGGGCACTAGAAGGAGCATGGGAGAGATCCCGGGGCCCCCAGAGGTCTCCGAGCAGGGCTGGGCGAGCGCTTTGTTGGCTTGGCTGGGGGTCAGCGCAGTCCGCACGGTCTCCTTTGGGGCCTGGCCCTTGCTGGGGGCACGTGGCCAAGAGGCCTCGGCTTCTCGCTCCAGGAATTCCCTCCTCGGCAGATTTCATCTCGCAACCCCTTTTCTGGGAAGGAAACTGGAGCCCCATGTGTCCCCTGCTGCTCTTCACCTGGTCCACTGCCGAGAGGACATTGCTGGCATCCCTGGGGGGCTCCCTGGGCGAGCGCTGGGGTGGCAGGCTGGGGGGATGGCTCTGTACATTAGCCTGCCTTTCACACAGACTTCTTTCTCTCCCTTATTCTCGCTCGTCTCTTCCCTCCTTTCCACATCCTTCCTGTAGAACTTCTTGGTAAGTCAACTTCTGCGGGCCCAGGTGCCCCCCTCCCCTCCCCTCCCCTCCCCTCCCCATGGCCTTGGCTTCGCTCCCCATGCCTCCCCCTCACCACCGTTCTCGCCACCCTCTGCCACGGTTGGGCCCGAACTGAAGCTTGGCTCCCGGAGCGGGACGCAGGAGCCACCTGCCAGCAGGGCCCTCGGGCAGGCCACAGGCCGAGGGCCGGGTCCAGCGTCGCTCAGCTCCCGGCCCTCCATGCTGGAGGCCATGCAGGCTGTGGGGCAGCAGCTCCTGCCCTCTGCCGCAGGGTCTCCCCCGGCAGAGGCCGGAGGCTCTCACACCGTCGTAGGGGCCGGGCCGGGCCGGGCCACGGTTCCTGCACCCCACCTCACTGCAGCGAGGGGAGACCCTGCGCAGGCCCCCCGGGCACGCCCTGCGAGCCGCCTCCCATCCCTGGGCCTGCAGTGGCAGAAGGGGCAAGTACGGCGCAGGCCCGGCCCCGCGGGCCCCAGCTCTCCCCAGGCAGTGGCTGAGCTCCCAGCCTGCCTCTGCAGCCTGGCCCAGACGCTCGCGGGATGGAGGCCGCGCAGGCAGCGCGCGGGTCGCACGGCACCCGGCATGGGGAGCTGGCCTGGCAGCAAGGCCCTTGCTTGCTGCTGCCCCTCCGGTGCCGTGCGGCTGTGGCAACCAGGCCGGGGGACGCCTGGAAGGGTCTTCCGGACCACCCCCAGCCCGGCGGCCCACAAGCCTGCCCTGGGGCTCTCTGGACAACCGCCCCCCAGGCCCTGAGCTCCTCTGGGACTTACGAACTAGGCTGGAAGGCACTGTGGGCCTGTCTTGTCTACCCCGTGGCCCCCACCGGCCCCCCTGGGAAGCCACAAGCAGGTCGGGGGCAGGACCCACCCCACTCGCGCCCCTCAGTCCCGAGGGTCTCCATTCTGGTGCAACTGGAAAGGAAGCCAAGGCAGAGCTGATCGCTTGTTTAGCTTGGACAACCTGGCGTCCCTGAGGCCACGAAGGGGTGGGGCGGGGGGGCGCATGTTGTGGGGATGCGACCCAGGGAAGCCTCTCCGGCTTGCAGGTGGCGAGATTCACAGAGGGGCAGAGGGCCTCGGCTGAGCTCAGTGCCAGGACAGAGGGACAGCTCGAAGCGGCTGGCTTGCAAGAGCTGTTGAAGGCGACACTCAGGCACCATGGGGCTCTCCCACTGAGGGGACCACGCTGCAGCGGGGCTGGGCCTGGGAGAGGCCCGTGTGCCCAGACCTTTCAGGGCCTCAGGCGTACCATTGGATCCACACCCGAGGCTGGCTGGGCGAAGCGAAGCGATTCCCACAGGCAGCTTCTGCTCCGCCCCACCAAGAGCAGCGCAGCTGTCATGGCAGGCCTGAACCACACAGTCGTGCCCCCCCCGGCCCCCACCCCCCTCTCCCCCCCCCCCCCCCCCCCCCACCCCCCCCCCCGGCTCTGCTGCGCCTGTCCCACATGGCCCGGGGGCCAGCACTGAGATCCGCTCCCCTGAACCCGACGCACCCCCACAGTGGCCGCGCCTGATGGAACAACCGCAGTCGCCCTCCACACCCCTCCCCTCCAGGGCCTGGCTGGGGCCTGGCTGGGGCCAGGCTGCCGTGGCGCCTCCCCCGAGCCGCAGGGGTGCCTCTGGTCTGCCCCCTTCCCACCCCCCAGCAGGGTCAGGATCTCAGCCGTGGCTCCCCGGCCTCCCGCCACCCGCCTCTCTGCTGCTCCCGGAGCGGCATCCCCCTGGGCTGCGCAGGCACCTTGCTCGGCCTTGCATGCCAGCTTCTGGGGGCCGGGAGGCTCCCCTGCAGGGGCTGTGCTGGGGCCGCCCCCTCGGCTGGGCAGTGGCCCTGGACTGGGCCCAGCGCTCTCGCTGAGCCTGGCACACCTGCCAAGCCGCCCAGCACGCCAGGGCAGCTGCTGGCGGGGAGGTGCGTGCCCTGCAGCCCTCAGCAGCTGGGTGTGCACAGCCCCACTGCTCCCGCCCACGGCCCTGGGGTCTCAGAAAGGGTGGGGCCCGGGTCGGGGCGGTGGTGGGACGGGAGCTTTGCTCAGACAAGGGTTGGTGCCTCTGGTCCACTGGGACTCCCGTCAGACTGCCCCCCCGCACACGCTCCGCGGCTTCTTCCTGGAATCATGCAGGCCAGACAGACTGGGCTTCGTGCTGTGCTCCCCAGGAGCGAGCGAGTCTGCTGGTGAGGGCGGAAAGGGCTGATGCTGACCGGAGCGTCGCTTCTAGTCGCTCTAGAAACTGCCTGGGCAGGGCATGTGCGTGCGCCGGTGCAGGGAAGCGGCGGGGCTTTGATTCAGCCCCGGTTACAAATGTTTGTCAGCGAAGTAAGACCTGCAGGATGGGAACCGCTCCAGGCCACGTCTCCGAGAGTGACATGGAAGGTCTGCGGCAGAGGAGGAGAACGCCTCTCCCGCGGGAAATAGTTGGCCGTGTTTGCACCAGACACGTCTGCTGTGCTAGAACCGGATTCACGTCTGGTGAATCCGGTTCCCGTGGGACGGGGGGCGGCACCGAGGCCGGGCCGAGAGCGGCTCATCCTCAGGCTCACCACCCGGCGCTCGGCACCTCCCGCACCTGACCCTGCGATGCCGGGGGGGCCTCCATCCCCTCGTGCAATGCCGTTCACAAACGGGCTGAACTGGTGGGGGTGCACGACGGTGCCGTGGGGTGGAGGGCTGGGCGCCGTGCGAGGACACCGGCGGCGGTGTGTGGCCGGCAGCCTTCCTTGGCCCCCTGCGCCGCCTCTGCACCCCTCGGCCTGCTCCCCGCACGTCGCTGGAACGGCTCCCTGCAGTGCGGTCTCGGGAGGAGCCACAAGCCGCCCGCTCAGCGCTCTGCTCTTGGCGCCAGCCATGACGGCGAGGCCGAATCTGTGCAGGGGCCTCGCGGGCCTGGGTCCTCTGGGACTGGGGGCAGAGGCGGTGACACCCCTCCTGCTCTCGCCCGCAGGGAAGGGCGACCTGCAGCCTCAGCTCGACAGTGCACTCCAGGACGTCAACGACATGTACCTGCTGTTGGAGGAGACCGAGAAGCAGGCTGTCCGCAAGGCCCTCATCGAGGAGCGGGGCCGCTTCTGCACCTTCATTGCCTACCTGCAGCCCGTGGTGGTATGTCCCCCTCTGACCCGGCTGGCCCGGCCCTGCCCTGCCCTGCCCTGCCCTGCCCTGCCCTGCCCTGCCCTGCCTCCCTTCCCCGGGCGGAGAGCCTCAGGCATGGTGGGGGGGGTTGCACCGCCCACGTGACCAGGACTCCAGGCGGCCAGAAGCCAGCACGGCCCTGCTCTGGAGCCTCCCGGCCTGCCCGGCACTCAGGATCTGAGGTGTGTGTGTGTGGGGGGGGGGGGGTTGGCCTCCCCTCCCTGTCACTGCCCCAAGCATAGGACCTACTTTCCACCTCTGCCCAAAGCTTTCTTGTGGAATGATTCCATTTGGAAATTAATCAGAAATTAATATACCAAATTTTCAGGAATATGTGAATGCAAATTAGGATGCAAAAATGTCTGCAAAAGTTGTTCTCCTAAGGGAGGTGTCACAAGCGGGACCATCTGTTTTTTAATCCTGAGTGGCGCTGATCTCCCTGAGAGCTGAGAGAGAGAAGTGGACACACAGGCAGCCAGTCCTGGATTTGCAAGCCAAGCACTCTCTTGTTGACTACAGTATGGAAGGAATCGCTCGCACCCACTCACACGAACACTCACCCTCTCATACGCACCAGGAACACCCCCCCTTGGAGCTGGTCCGCCTCACACGGAGCAACTTGCAGGCGCTGCAGCACCGGCGAGTCTGGCCCCGGGCCGCCTGCAAGTCCCTGCTTTTCACTCCTTCCCCGCATTCTTCGTTTGACCTCCTGTAGGTGGGGACATGCAGTCTGCTCTCCTCTGGGCCATCGTCCGGAGGACTTTAAACATAGCGAGTTTCGCCCAGAAGACTTTAAACTGATCTGGGGGGGTGGGGATCAGGTCCCCCAAAACCTGTCTGCACTGGACAAGTGTGGGGGGGATCAGGGCTCTGGGAGCAGGGTTTTAGAGGCACTGCAGGGACTGACAGGACTCCTACAGAGAGGGGCCAGGTATCAGGGAGGATGGGAGGAAGGAGGAGGTTGGGGACTCCAAGGAAAGGAAGCGGTGGGAAGGAGTTGAGGTGCATGTACACCAGTGCTAGGAGCCTGGGTAATAAGCAGGAAGAGCTTGAAGCTCTCCTGGGAATAGGAGGGTATGACCTGGTGGGAATCACAGAAACTTGGTGGGATGAAAGGCAAGTCTGGAACGTGAGGGGTGTCACCTTTTTAGAAAGGACAGGAAGGGAAAGAGGGGTGGGGGGGTGGCTTCATACATCAGGGAAGGGTTAGGATGCAGGGAGATAGGATGCAGCGCAGATGGGGATTCGGCAGAGGCAGTCTGGGTGAAACTTAGGGGTTTTGACAGGGAAAGAGACCTGGCAGTGGGGGTATGTTAGCGCCCTCCAGGTCAACATGAGACTCTGGATGATATCCTGACAGACCAGATTCTAAGGATATCTCGGAGGAGAGACACAGTAATTATGGGAAATTTCAGTCTCCCAGATATTATTTGGGAGACTCACTCGGCGGTGACAGTCGGGTCATGTCACTTCCTAGAAGCTATAGAGGGAGAGTTTTTCGCACAGAGGGTCCGAGAGGCGATGAGTGGGGGAATTGACTTGGTCTTGACCAATAGAGAGGAGCGGATAGATGAAGTACAGATTAGGGGAGCTCTGGATGCGAGCGATCACTCCATCCTTTGCTTTGAGATCAGGGGACTGGGGCCGTGCAGCAGGTCGAGCACTAGAAGCTGGGACTTCAAGGGGCCAGCTTTGGCCAACTGAAGGCCAGACTGGGGAAGGTCTCCTGGGATGGGTTACTGGTAGGCAAGCGAGTTGAGGAGGGGTGGATGGCACTCAAAAGGGAGGTTTTGGAGGCGCAAGCCTTGACGATACCTCTAGTCAGTAAGGTGGGGAGGCGGAGGAGAGCGCTGCCATGGATGTGAAAGGAGGTGGTTAGGGGGATTAGACACAAGAGGAACCTCCGTAGGAAGTGGGTACTGGGGCAAATAGACAAAAGGGTATACTGGGAGGAGGAGGCCCGTTGCAGAAGGATTCTTCACAAGGCTAAGGCTGATTACAAGCTGAGACTTGCCAAGAATATCAAGAGCAACAAAAAGGGCTTCTTTCAGCATGTGAATAGGAAGAGGAAGGGGAGACAAGTGGTGGCACCGCTGAATAAGGAGGAAGGAGATCCAGTGACTGGTATGAGGGAACAGGCACAGATGCTAAATGACTGTTTTGCCTCTGTGTTCTCCCCAAAAGCAGGACGGGGGAGATCCGCATAGGAGATTAGATGAGGCCGGGGACTTAGGGGCACAGATTAGAGTCACCCCCCTAGAAGTCGAGGGCTTCCTCAGGGCATTGAACGTTACAAAGGCGCCAGGCCCTGACGGGTTACACCCGAGAGTACTTCGAGAATTGGCCGGGGTTCTCTCACGCCCGCTGGCCTCCATTTTTGAGGCTTCATGGAGAACGGGTGAAGTTCCAGAGGACTGGAGGGTGGCGTCAGTGGTCCCAATTTTCAAAAAGGGTAGTAGAAAGGACCTGGGGAATTACAGACCAGTTAGCCTTCGTCCATTGTAGGAAAAACAATGGAAAGGCTCATAATAGAGAGAGATCTAGTGATGCTAGACAGGGAAGGGAGGCTGGCAGCCACACAACACGGCTTCTGCAAAAACAGGTCCTGCCAGACAAACCTTGTGGAATTCTATGACAAGGTTTCAAGATGGAGGGGATGCAGTGGATGTGGTTTATGTACCTGGATTTCAGCAAGGCCTTTGACAAAGTGCCCCATGATATCCTGGTGGAGAAACTGAGGAGTTTTGGGATACACCAAAGCACTGTCCGGTGGATTAGGGCATGGGTGACTGACCGAAAGCAGAGGGTGACCATTAGTGGGGAATCATCGGGATGGTGGCCAGTGACAAGCGGGGTCCCCCAGGGCTCTGTCCTGGGGCTGATCCTATTTAATCTTTTCATCAATGACATGGAAGAAGGGGTGAACAGTTTGCTGATCAAATTCGCAGATGATACTAAAACTGGAGCAGTGGCCACAACTGAGGAGCAGGTACTCCAGATCCAAAAGGATCGGGACAGACTAGGGGAGTGGGCAGGAGACAACAGGATGGCGTTCAATGTGGATAAGCGCAAGGTCTTGCACTTGGGGCATAGGAGTAAGTGTCATAAGTACAGGTTAGGGGACAAGTGGCTGGAGAGCAGCACTTGTGAAAGGGACCTCGGGGTGCTGGTTGACTGCAGGCTGAACATGAGCCAGCTGTGTGATGCGGTGGCCAAGAGGGCGAACGCCACCCTTGGTTGCACAGCCAGAAGTGTGGCTTCTAGATCGAGAGAGGTATTACTACCACTCTATACGACTCTGGTGCGCCCACAACTGGAGTATTGTGCTCAGTTTTGGGCCCCTCATTACAGGAAGGATATAGCCAGGTTAGAGTCAGTGCAGCGTAGGGCCACAAGGTTGGTGGCCGGTTTGCAGGGGATCGGGTATGAGGCGAGACTGAGGGAACTGGGTCTCTTCAGCCTGGAGAAGAGGAGACTCAGGGGGGATCTGTTGGCGACATACAGGTATGTGAGGGGGTGTCACACAGAGGTGGGGAGAGACCTGTTCTCCCCTGCAGAGGAAGGCAGGACGCGCTCCGACAGAGCAAAGCTCAGGGAACCCGGGTTCCATTTAGATGCCAGGAAGCACTTCCTGACAGCCAGGACCCTGAGGGTGTGGAATGGGCTTCCCTGGGAGGTGGCTGAGGCCCCATCGGTGCGGGTGTTCAGGGATAGGCTGGACATGCACATGGTGGGCATGTTGTGAGCGGAGCCGGCTGGAGCCGGGGGTCAGACCTTGCACTGTTTCTGTGTTCCCCTTTGCACTTCCTTCGAAAGGTTCTTCTCCCTCACTTGCCTTAGAAGCCGTCCCTGGGACTCTCGGCCAGAATTGCTCCAACTTTCATCCAGGGTCTCGGAGGCCATTTCATTCCCATCCTGCTCCTTGCCAGTCTTCAGGCTTTCCATTTCTTCACCCAAAGAGGCCTATTCCTTCCCTCCCTTCCTTCCGCCATTCACTCATTGCAGGGGTCCCAAATCCGTTGTTGCCCTGTGGCAAAGCCGGTCAGAGGAGCCAGGCAGGTGCCAGGATCGGGGCAGGACTGAAGGGGCCCAGGCCATGGCTGCTGCGTCCACACGAGGGGTTGCACAGGGCTCCCCGGAGGACCTGCCCCGGCCAGCCCAGAGCCACCTCCGCAGCTTCCCCGGCTGCCCTGCTGCCAGGCGGCGACCCCCAAGGGACCCCTTTGCTCTTGCTGCTGCCAGACCCAGCAGGGCCCCTGCGGTGGTGTCCCCCAAGTGGGGTGCACCACAGTACCTGTTGCCCCTCGTCATCCACCACACGGCGCCAGCAGGCCCGGCCTGGGGTGAGTGCCCCGTTTTCCTCCGGCTCTCAACCCCTTCAGGCCAGCGGAGTTGCACTCCTGCCTCAGTTCCTTCTCTGGCACTCTCCGAGGCATTCCCCACACCGGGTGTTGGCAGCCCTGGCCGCAGCCACGGCCCCAGTGACTGGGCGCACGCCCCATGCCCCGAGCCCCTCACCCACCGGACCGGTCCCAGCCGGGGGGGGGCAGGGGGCCCCTCAGTGCCCTGCAGAAGCGCCACAGCCGGGCTCGTCCTTCTCGTGCAGACGGGAGAGCTTGCCATGCTGGGGGAGATCACGCACCTGCAGGGCATCCTGGACGACCTGGCGGCGCTGAGTGCTGAGCCCCACAAGCTGCCCTCCGCCAGCGAGCAGGTGGGGGCACGGGAGGGGTTGGGGCGGGGCGAGGGGGGGCCCCTCCTTGTGGCGTGTGTGGTGGGGCCGCGATCGGAGGCGGCGGCAGCTTTGAAAGGGGCGGTCATGGGCCAAGCGTTCCTGGTCTGGCCTGTCAAGGCAGGCCACGCGGTTTCAAGGCTGCCGGTGCACGTACAGCGAGGCCAGGGCATGCGTGGGGTCGTGGCTGGCCTTCCCTGTTCCGGGTGGGCCACTGCCGCCCGAACCCCGCTCTGCGTGGAGTGGCCGTGTGGTGTGGCTGCCCAGCGGAGTCGTGCCAAACTTTTCGCAGGTGATCAAAGACCTGAAGGGCTCCGATTACAGCTGGTCTTACCAGACGCCACCACCCTCCCCCAGCAGCTCCGGGTCCCGCAAGTCCAGCATGTGCAGGTAAGGCCAGGGCAGCTGGGGGCGGGTGTCATGCCGGGATCCACCCCACCCCCCGACCTCCCCCCGTGGCCCCCCTGCCCACACGGAGCAGCAGACTACTCCTGGCAGCACCCCTGCCTGTGGGGAGCCCCCAGCGGCCGGGTGCGATTTGGGCTCCCCTGTGGAGGGACGCAGGGGGGGCACCCGGAGGGAAGCTGCATCTGGTGTGCGTAAATCCGTGGGCCGAGGAGATGGGCAAGGGCCGTGGCAGCATGAGGTGCTTGTGTGCCCGCAGAGGGGCTGCCCGGACACCTCCCCTTTCTCCGCCCCGGGAGGGCGCTGGGTGCCACGCGCCTGTGTGCGGCCCGGCTGACCCTCGGAAGCGCCACGCTCCCCCCTCCCCTCGCCTCCCCTCGCCTGTGCGCTCCCGTCGTGCCGCTGCCCAGCCGGGCGGACAGCCCTGTGGGCCGGCTCGCTCACCGGCTCTTCCGTCTGCGCCGCCGCAGCCTGGCCCAGCCACTCAACGCCAGCACCCACCTGTCCAGTGTCTCCTCGCACGACTCGGGCTTCATCTCCCAGGACGCGCTCTTCTCCAAGCCGCCGTCTCCAATGCCCTCGGACATCACCAGTCAGGTCAGTCCCCCGGCGGTGCCTCCGGAGGCATTAAAGCAGAGAGGGACCCAATCCGCCTTGTCCGCCACCTGGCCGTGCCGTGCGGCTTCGCCGGCAAGTCGGGGACCAGCACCAGCTGCTGCCGGGAGCCACAGTTTTGCAGGGGGAACAGGCCCCCACTAGTGAGTGGCCGCCCCACAAGTATGGAGCCGGAGGCCCCAGGCCCACGAGCCCAACTTGCCGGCAGCACCTCAAAGTGCCCCAGGCTCCCCTCGGGCCCCGAGTGGGAGGACTTGGCCTGGCGGAGGAGCGTGCTCAGTGGAGTGGCAGACGCTGGAACCCCCGCTGCAGTGGGGGGGGCGGCTTCGCCTGAGGCTCCCGGTCTGGCCGGGCTGACTCTGCTGCCCTCCGCGGGACCTGCCTCACCCAGCTATGCCGCAGGGCTCCGGGGGTGGATGGGCCAGCTGCCCGTGGCAGTGGGGGCTACTGGCCAGCCCCTGCAGCAGTGGTACAGCGCAGTGGACTCGGGAAGCACACCGAGCCCCTCCTGGCCGGGGGAGCATCGAGCCAAGCATCTGCCGGGCTGGCCGGGGGCTCAGCACCGGGGCTGGCTGCATCCGTCCTGCAGAAGGGGCCGTGCCCTGGGCAGCGGAGGCCCCCGATCCTTTCTTCCTGGCCTGTCCCCCAGCATCGGGGGCGTGTGTGGATTGGGGCCGGGGCCGGGCCGGGCCCCAGAATGTCCAGGGGAGTTGTGAGGGCCGGGAGGAGGTTAAGACGGCGGAACAGTCAGGCCAGAGGGGTTTGCCAGAAGCCGCCTGCCTCAGCAGTCTGCCCCCGCCCCCCGCTGCCCAGGGCCGTATGTGAGGACGACCCTGCTTGGCTGCCCACCCCGCTCCTCCTGCAAGACGCTTCTCCGGGGGACACCCGCACCGGCCTGTGCAGAGCAGTGCTTGTGCCACCCAGCCCCAGCGCCGGCATGCCAAGTCAGGCTGCGCTCCCCCTTCTCCTCCTCTCCCCGCCCCGCCTGCTGCTTCCCTCTGGCTGCCAGCACGTAACCGGGTCTCTTCTCTTCTTCTCCACACTCTTCTGTGTTGCTCCTGCTGATCTCGGACTTTGGGCATGGCAGAAGTCCTCCAGTTCTGCGTCATCCGAGGCATCCGAAACCTGCCAGTCCGTTAGCGAGTGCAGCTCCCCAACCTCGGTTAGTGCTCGCCACAGCGGCGCAGTCTGGCGGCCAAAAGCTGCCGCTTGACCCGGCACCCCCTGACCCACAGGCCGGGCCTTGCCCCCGCATGCTCGGCGCTCACGTGCCCCCTTGGGTGACGGCCGGGCGCACACCAGAGCCCCCCCAGTCCCTGCCCTGGCGCCCCCTCCCCCATGTTGGCTGGCTTTCTGCTCCCCCCGCGGTCCTGGCTCGATGGTCTGGCGCAGCCCCAGCTCCCCCGGCAGTCCCGCTCAGCAGGCCCCAGTGCCGCCGTGATCCCGGGAGCACCGGGCCCTCCTCACCACAGTCTCTTGCTGTGTTGCAGTGGAAACCCCTGAATGTAGCTCACGCGCCCCGGACCGAAGGGAGCTCCTGGAGAAGCCTTAGCCTGGTGTGTATCTTGCGGGGCGCCTGTTCCAGCCCGGCTGCAGGGCGTCTCCTCAGGGCCTTGGCTGGCCTGTGGGCAGCCGACTCCGCGCTGCCTTCGCCTCGCACGCACGTACACGCCTCTCACTCGCAGATCCACTTTCCTCCTGTGGGATCCTGGCCCCACCCCAGCAGGGAGAGCCTGCCCAGCCCCCCAAACTGCCCCCAAAGAACCCGCTACCCTGGCCCTGCAGGCCACACCTCCCAAGCCCCCCTGGGGGGCCTTGACCTTCCCGAGGGGAGAACCAAGGAATGCGCTGTGGGCCCAGCCGGGAACCCAGCTCCTGGAGCTGTTCCAGGCAGCAGGTGGGGTCTTTTGGGCGCCCCCCAGAACGAGACTCTCTGCCTGTGCAAGGGCCAGGGCCCCCGCCTTTGCAGGCCGGCTCCTTCCCTGGGCACCTCTTGGGGGGAGTGCCCATCACAAGCCCTGCAGGCAGACCTGGGCAGCCGGGCCCTGCTGGGGAGGGGAGGGGCTGTGGTGCTCCCAGCCCAGCAAGGAAACCAACCCCAGGCAGGCCCAGAGAAGCGTTTCCCTGCCTGCGAGTGAGCAAGTCGGCACGGTGAGGGATCACTGCAGTCCAGTGAGCTTGTTAGGCAAGGGTTTCTCTGGAGCCCGAGCAAGCCTTGGCTTAGCCGGTGCTCTCCCAGCTCGTCTCCAAGGCTGAGCTTCATGTGCACGCAAACTGTGTGCGTGTCCTTGCTTTGGTTTGCGGAGATTTCAAGTGTGCGCATCCTTCCCCCCTCGCTTCTAGCGCACAGGTGCGCCCGTCTCCAAATCATGCGCGTTTTCCATGCCGCTGAGCACATTCCTGGCCAAAAAGGAGCTGGAGCGAATTTGAGAAAGGCTCAGAGACATGGCGAGGCCATCTTGGGCTGCCCCCAGCCCCTGGCCATGCTGCCTCCGCGTTTTCCGTGCAGCCCAAGCCCCTGCCCTCTGCAGGCCCTTCCACAGCCTCCTCTTTGCCACCGCAACCCCAGGGACCAGGCAGGGGCACCGCTGCTTTGGACTCAGAATGCTGCCTGGGCTGATGGAGATCCGGGCTCTTGGAGAGTCCCAGCTGATGGTGGATCTTTGGAGGCCAGCCCTGGGGCTGGCGGCCATGCAAGGGACCGAGGGGCTCGCGGCACTCCCCTGGCGGTGCCTTCGCTTTGTGGCCCGCGGTACCTGGGGTTCCAGAACGTCCTGGCTGGAGACCACTACTTCTAGCTTTCTCCCTGCTGAAGGGGAAACACTGAAATCTGCACGGAACTCAAGCTTGGGATTTAGAAACTGCTCACGGGTGTGTCTGCCCCTCCGCTGCCCCCTCTCCTGGGGCAGGATCCCCCCAATCCCCAGAAGCCACAGCCAGAACCCCGTGGCTCTGGGCCAGCAGAGGATCCGCGAAGAGCCCACCTGGGACTTGGGGCCCCTTGGAGCAGTCGGTCAGCTCCGTCGCCTGGCCACGCCGCACTGGCGCACCGCCTCTTGCACCCGCCCGGAGCCCGAACACGACCTCCCCTGCTCAGAGCAGAAGAGCTGCCTGCCAAGAGGACAGAAAATCGGGTTCTGGCTGGGGAGTCTGGCCAGCTTTCTTCCCACGTGGCTTCTCCAGCGGCTGGAGACGAGCCCCAGCAGGATGGCCACCCGCTCCGCGCACGGGGGGATTGAGCGAGCGAGCCAGTCAGCGCTGCCCCTGGGGCCCTCAGCTGCTATGCGCGCCTGTCCCTGGTGCTGCCAAGGCCGGTGGAGGCCGGCGGGGATGACTCGGCCACCTGCCCAGCAATGCAAGATGGTTCCGGGGCCATTGTGTGGCTGCTCTCCCTTCTGCCCCCTCAGCGGCGCCCCTTTCCCTGCCGCGGCCCCGGCCCCTGCCCCCCAGGCGCCCCGTCTTCTCTCCTCCGGTCCCCGCATGTGAGCTTGCGGCGCTGAGGCCCGGCTGCGCTGTGACGCCAGCACCTCTTGGTTTCTGCAGGACTGGTCCAAGGCCGGGGCCTGCGAGCCGCCCGGGGCAGCGACGCTGCAGCGGAGGAAGGACCGGGTCGAGCACCTCCGGGAGGCAGAGCTGGGCTCCGCCACTCTGGCGTATCCTGGCCTGGGCCTCGAGGAAGGGCTCCGACCACGCGTGTCTCCCGCCACCATTGCCGCCAAGGTACGGCCGGGCGTGGGGGTGCCCAGGAGCTGGCGAGGGGAGAATCCCAGAGGCAGCCAGGCTCCGGGAACCTCGTGAGTGCGCGGCCCCAGTGGCAGCCTTCTCCAGCCTGGTGCCCGCCAGGTGCCCGGGACAACAGCTCCCTGGTGGGCTGACCAGGAGAGGCTGGGCGAGGTAGGAAAGGCTGTTAACGGGAGACAGAGCCCTCGGCCCGCTCCCAAAGGCCTTCCCTGGTGCCAAGCAGCCCTCCCGGCTCAGGTCCTTGCGCAGGTGCTTGCCTGGTGGCCCCAGGTGGCCCTGGGCGAGACAGGCTGCCGGGCCCCTCGCCTTTGGAGCTCCGGCTGGGCTTTGACCCAGAAGCCTCCCTGCGGCTGCCAGGTTTTTCTGGCCCAGCTGGGGCTCTGCCTCCAGAGCTCAGCGTGGGGCTGCACCAGGCAGGCGGACCTGGCTGAGCTGGCCTGCATGTCCCGCGTGCGGCTGCACGCAGGAGGGGGGCAGCTCAGCGAGTCGCGCTGAGGGCGAAGGTCTCCGCAGGGTCCCCCCCAGGACGCACAGCAGGGCCAGCATGGCCTGGGGGCTGAGGAAGCCTCTTGGCCTCCCCTGCAGTCCGCGGGTCTTGGGGGGCTGGATGCCCGGCGGCAAGGCCCTGTCGTCCTGCCCGGAGGCACGTTGGCCGGGGCAGTGGCGGCTGCCTGCGGGCCGTGTCACAGGAGCCCCGCACCTCTGCCTTTGACCCAGCATGGCGAGGCGGTGTCCCCGGCCGCCAGCGACCTGGCCCTGGCGCTGACGCGTGGGCTGAGCCTGGAGCAGCAGAAGAGCAGCCGGGACTCGCTGCAGTACTCCAGCGGCTACAGCACCCAGACCACCACCCCCTCCTGCTCGGAGGACACGATCCCCTCACAAGGTAGCGCGCCACTGGGGAGGGGGGTGGAGGGCGCGGGGCAGTCGCTGCAGGCGGTCCGGGAGGGAGGGAATCCGCGTGGCTTGGAAACGGCCGCTTGCCCTTCCGCAGGCAGCTCTGTGGTGACGTCGCCTCCCAGGAGCGCCGTGCAGGCTGGCGAAGCCCTTGCCTTCGGCCGGGGGGCTGCACACGGCGCCCTCTGTGCCTCAGCCCCAGGTGCTCGGCAGGCACGGCCTTTATCTGCGCCTGGCCCGGCACACTTTGCCCTGGAGAAGCCCTGCAGCGCCCGCCTGCCCCATTCGTTGCCGCCTGCCGTTTCGCGACCCCCTGGGAGAGGCCCGTCCCAAGGCAACGCTCGTTTGTTTGGAGTGCCTTGTGGGCTCTGGCGTGACCTCTTCTCTGGACAGCCTTCCTTGATTAGGTGCCCTCCGTCTGTGCTGGACTGTCCCTCCCAGCATCCCCCGGCTGGTAGAGTGGGCCAGGAGTGCCAGCCGTCCCGCGCAGCTGGAGGGTGCCCTCCGGGGATGGCTGCTCCGAGATGCGATGGCCAGACGCGGACGGCAGCCTCCTTTCTGCCCCGCGTCCCCCACGCCAACGCTGCACCTGCCTGTCGCCCCTGCAGGCTCCGACTACGACGGCTACTCGGTGAACGGCGAGGCCGACGGGGAGCCCCAGAGCGACTTCGACAAGTCCTCCACCATCCCACGCAACAGCAACGTTGCCCAGAACTACCGGCGCATGATCCAGACCAAGCGGCCGGCTTCCACCGCCGGCCTGCCCACGGGCACGAGCCTCCCGGCCGGGGCCACCCCAGGCGTGGCCACCATCCGCCGCACCCCCTCCACCAAACCCGCAGTCCGCCGGACCCTTTCCAGCGCCGGCCCCATTCCGATCAGGCCGCCCATTGTCCCCGTCAAGACGCCCACGGTGCCGGACTCGCCTGGCTACGCGGGCCCCACGCGGGTGGGCAGCGAGGAGAGCGTGTTCTACGCCGACGACGCCTCACCGGGCGCCCCGGACTTTGCCAGGGCGTCGCCCAAGAGGCTGAGCCTGCCCAACACGGCCTGGGGCAGCAGCACCATGGAGATCTCGGTGTACGCTGGGGCCGGGAGGCGCCTCTCCTCGGAGGAGGAGGAGCAGCAGCGGCTGGCCGCCAACCGGCACAGCCTGGTGGAGAAGATCGGTGAGCTGGTGGCCAGCGCCCACGCCCTGGCCGAGGGCCAGTTCCCCTTCCCCACTGTGGCCCTGCCTGGCACCGGTCCTGGGGAAGAGACGCCCATGCCTCCCCCCACGGTCCCCAGCGACCCTCCAGCGGAAGACATGCTGGTCGCCATCCGGCGCGGGGTGCGCCTGCGCAGGACCATCACCAACGACAGATCCGCGCCTCGTTTCTTGTGATCACACCCTTCCCGGCTGCCCCCCAGGGCTCTCCGCCTGCAGCCAGAGAGCAGCCTGCAGAAGCGACTGATGGACTGCGAGTGGCAAAGCTGCCGTGCGGAGCCCCCGCCACACGCAACAATGGCTGCAAACGCGACGCCCTGGCGCTGTCTGGCTCCGCACTCGACCCGTGGCTCTCGCCTCCGTCCTGCCCCGTTTCATCGCCTCCCGCACCGGCCATCGTCCCGCTCTGCAGAGATCCGTCTGAGCCACACCGCCAGGATCCTCCGGGATGCCGCCCCAGCTCAGCACAGCGCAGCCGTGGGATGTGGGCGGCCGATGCCTGCAGAACACTGGCCTCATCCAGACACGGGCTCCCCGTTAGTCTTGCGCTGAGCCCTCCCGCCTCTGCGTGGCTTCTTTTCCCATCTGTTTCTGTATTTGCAGCACCTGCATCCACCGTGTTTTAAGAAGGCAGCACAGACGGGTGCGCCGAGCTAACAATCCTTGGAAATGTGGGCCTGTTCCAGCCGGAGCTCTAACACCCAGTTCTGTGGCAGCCTGCGGAAGAAGCCGCCCCTCCCCAGGGCGCCATCGCAGGCGTGCAGCTTTCTTCTGGCTTTGCCATGGGTGCCGGGCTTGCGGGGGCTCCGTCGGAACACGAAGGGTAGCGGATGATCGACACCGCCATCCTTCCCTTGCTTGGTTGGGTCAAGTTAGGCGAGGCCCAGCAGGCTCTGACAACTTGCCCACGAGCTCAGTCCATGGCCTGGCTTGAATCTTGAATCTGGCAGTGGCTCTGGGGGGGGGGGGGGG